TTTCAAGTTAATGTATTAAAAATGTTCTGCACAGGCTACAAATGAACAGTTGGTTAAAAAACGTATTTAGTTACCTTCACTAGAATTGTCATCTTTCCTATCATCTGGTACCGTGCAACACTGGACATTTTACTCTATTGAAGAATTTCCTGTCTTTATCAAGTCAAACTCCAGGCACATTTTGCAGCAGAGAAGAATTAAAGAGGGAGGATCCTGTGCAAAGGAACCACAACTTATCAGTGTAAACCCTAAAACAAATTAAACCAGTTTTTTTTCTGAGGCATTTTAGCTATCAGAGGAGCTTCCACGCCATTTGTCATGCTATGTTCCTAATTAATCGTTGCATGAACATGCCTTTGCACTTGACATTCTGGACAAGTATGTCCTCATGCACTCTCTGCTCCCCAAGCTTACAAGACTTTCACAGGAAATTTAGACAGGAGGAAGGAGCGCAGGACACCAGGATGACAATGCTTATGACAGTCTGGGGTTTACATGATTCTGCTTTTCAAAAGGGTGGATATTTCTTCTTATTATATCCACTTGTTTACACTACAATTATGACAGAGAAGGAGAAAACCCAGACAGAGAGGGAAACACGAGACAGAGGTGACTGCAAAGTAATCACAAGTAGTCAAAAAACCACAGGTGACAGCTGCATCCCATTCTTCTCCAGGAAAAGGAGGAAGTATGAAGAGTGACCCTGCCCTTTTGGAGATTTTGACCTTTCTGTAACCTTACAGGTGCCAGAGGAAATCCAGATAAGTAGAAATCCCTCCAGCCTGAGTCCTAGTCACATTAAATTAAAAGCTGGGTGGTTGTTTGGCCAGTAGAGATTTTATTTAGGAGAGCAAGATATACACTGAAGATGGAAATGAACAGGACAAGAGCTACAAGTTGCACCAACTGTGAATTATATTATTTTGCAATGAATCCACAGGAAACTCTTAGAAGGCCTTGAACCCAAAGTACACATCCCTGCTCTTTAGCTGGGAGGTCCCTCTTCACTGGTGCAGAAATGAATCACTGGGTGTCTGGGCAGTCACCCCCCAAAAAGAGCTGCTTTGCCTTGCAATGTGCAGACAGAAATTGAGCACGGTGTGTGCCTGCAGTTGTCCCATCTGCAGACTGCTTCAAATCGCACTTCAAAATGCATTCAGATCCACAGTTTCTTCTTCTAAGGATAAGTACCCACGTGCCATAAACTCTGTGCACTTTGATATGTCTCTGTGGCCTGATCTGGATAATTTACTGTATGAAAAATCAGCTGTACTATAACCCAATGGCATTAATGGTATGGTGAGCCACTGTAACTTTTCTATTGATTTGGTTTTGTTCTCTATCTGCAGCTACAAAACTAATCTGCTGTGCCTTGTATGTGTCCGGATGGTTGCAGTGCTGGCTGATATCTCTAGCATGGACCTGGAGGCCAGGATTAACAGGCACATCAGAAGCATCCTGGACAAGTGATACAGATGTGGGAAGTGTAGCTAATAGTTACATGACGGGAATAAAATGTTAAATCATGTTTAATTCTGTTTCTACACATAGCATTGTGTGGTGACAATGGCTCCCTTATTCTAAGGTTCAGAATGTATATGTATCTATCACCTGCAGAAATGAGCTACAGCAGAGGGAGTGGGGAGGGAGCACAGGCTGGGCAGGAGCATTGCCAGAGTTGCAGTTCTGTCCCTGCCATCTGGGATGCCTTCACCTGGTCTCAATGCAAGAGTGCATCCCTGTCCTTCCACCAACATTGGTACCCTTATATGAGCTGGGTGCCTCCCCAAACTTCAGTGAGACCAAGCACCAGCTTGAGCAGTAAATTTTTCAAAATCGTTGGGCATCTCACTGCCAAAGCTGTTCCAGGAACCCAACGGTTCACACAACTTCTAATATAAGCATCCCTCTGTAAAACTGAATTGAGGAAAGAACATAATTTTCTCTCATTTGTGACTTCTAAAAGATCATGTAAGTTTGAAAAGTCTATTTTAAATTCTGGCAAATTAAGAATACAATCAACCACCAAAAGTCAGTCGGGAGGCTTTGTTATGACTAAATGCTTTTGGCTACTGAAAATATTTCAGCTTCAGCTTGACATTTTGAATATTTTAGGTACCATTAAAGGAAATTCTGAAGTAAAATAATGATGAACCAAAGGTATTGAAAAAAATCAAAGTGACAATTTAGTTTTTAACAAACTGCTTTATTAAACACTTCTATATTACACAAAATATGTGCAAAATTTCCATGGTTTTGTGAACTGACTCAGAGTTACTACAGAAGCTCTCTCTCCATCATTCAGCCAGTGAGAGTTGAAACTGCACAGAATGAAACGGGATGACAATGATGAACACCTTCATCAATTAAATTGAATAGGAATCACCCCACTTGAAGAAGGTAAGCATCATTTGAGTTAAGGGGCATGCTAGTAAAAAGTAGAAGAAATCATTCCCCACACAGCCATCTTTCTATCTTTTCCGGCAATGTTTCCCCAGATCAATATTATTAGCACGTTATAATGAAGTTATTTTTTAAACAGTCTTATATCATATGACTTTTTTCATAAATTGCTTAATATGGCCTTGGTTTTGCTTGGTTTTATTCAGTTTCTGTGGGATGGATTTTTTTTTTTAAGTGAGCATTTTGTGATGAAAGAAATAAATCTGATCTTAATTTTCTGTTGTCCCCCTGGGTTTGATTCCTACTGTGCTCTGCATAACTTTATTTTAGAGATTATACCACTGAGAAGTTTGAATTTAGAAATGGTAGGTTTTGAGCATACAGACATGAAAAGTGAATCCAGAAAAGTGTGGTTATTATATGTATAGATTGAGAAGATGATATGAAAATGTTTTAGAAAATCTGATATACCCAGACCAACTACTGCTTTCTCCCAGTTGCCTCATATTAGTACGTCTGAAAAGTAGGCACTAAGAATGTAGAAAACTTACTTAAATCAGTGAGCAGAGGTGTGTGTGGCTCTCACAGACCTGGGTACAGGTGTACATGGGTCAGAATGCCACTTGATAAGAGTCAAGGAGAAAAGATTTGACAATGTTCTAGCACATTACAATGGCATAGTGCCTCTGGAAGGTGTCAGATATGCTTCTCCAATATCCCTCATTTCTTTTGTCCTTGCTGTTGCTGACATATAAGTGTGTGTCAGCTGGATAGTAAAAGCATACCTTCAAATTTCATACTAGAAACATATTATTTATTCCTCCTTTTTCATTATTCTGATTTTGGGCTTGGAGGTTTTTTGTGAACAAAATTCTTGTCTGAAAATTTTCTCAGTAGAAAGCACAGCAACTTGTAAAGGATCCTAGCCCTTAGATAAACAAACATGCTTCCGATAAAGAAGCAGCACTGTGAAGCCTGCTTCTTAATTCTCTCTCTCTGCTCACATCAAGAATAACAAATAGGAAGAATAGGTCAGAAAAGAATGTTAATCTACCCAAAAATACTAGTTTCTCGTAAGTACCACTTCAACAGGCTCTACCTGTGACAACACAAATATAGGCAAAAGGGAAAGATAAGGGTTTCTTCAAACATTATTTGGCTCTTATGAGGGTGGAAAAGGAGATAAAAAACATTTTACCAACATCACAGAGGGAGAGGCACTAAGCAGCCAATTCCTGGTATCCAACACTTGCAGAGAGGAATAGACAAGAGACCCTTCCCATCAGCCTGGCACGGTGGGGGAGTTTTCTGCTGTTTTACCTGAAAGGAGAGAATATGCTTGGCATAATGGTTTGGCAGATGGAGCTGGCCTCGTTTATTCAGACACTGAGGTGACAATCACAGGATGAAGAAAAATAGCATGACTGGAAGTAAATGAATGCCTACAAAGGAGAGTGGTCATAAAGGAAGAGCCAGATTATTGGGAGGTAGGAGTGTGAGAGCAAAGGAAACCTGGAAGGTATGGGAGAAGGTGAGGGAGAAGAGCACCTGGGAAGTGTATCTTGAAGCTGGAGAAAAACACAGTGAATAAGTAAAATAATGGAAATGGAGTATGGAAACAGTAATGCTAGTCTCTCAATCATATTCCATTCAAAGCCT